TTAAGGGCATTGTAGGCACACACAAAGGTAAAGGCCTTTCAAGTGATGTAATTTCCGTGAAAAGGTATTCAGATATTTAGAATATAGGTAAATATGAGGCAAATGCCATTCTTGATTTAAAGGCTTAGACTCCTGGCATACGGAGATAGGATCTATTCAAGACAAAAAAGTCATAGTTTTCCTGGGTGCTTGGTGAAAACCAGGAATGGAATGCCAGGCATGTTCAGAGCATCACTCAATCATGTAATTTCTTTACCACTGGTTTTCCTTTCTTTAAGATATGAATCCGCTTTAGGATTTTCAATCTTCTACTAAATGTTCTCTGACAAAACTAAAAGCTACTTTAGAAATAACTGATTGAGTGCTCGTATTAGAACTTCGGTTAGTATGTGAATCTTCATGTGTGCTGTCAGCCTCTTTAACACACAGTTTCAGACTGCCACCCCCATGCACCACAAAAGCCAAGCATGCTCAGCAGGATGTGTAGGATGCCATGTACCTAGAGTTTCCTTCTTGCCCTGCATGGCACTCAAGAGTGTAGAGATTTGAAGCAGAGGCAAAATTGAGGCAAATGTCAATTTTGACTGGAAGGCAAAAGTTATCAATAAACCCTATCGTATGTCTTAGAACCCTTTATCTTTTTTATCATGAAGTCCAGCTCATGGTTGGGTATACTTACTAGTGCTTACTGCAGTGCAAGTACATGTGCTGCATCAGGTACTAATATTAACTGGCAAAAGTGGCCAGGAAACAGCACACCAATCATTGTGATGCAGGCAAAAACAAAGGTCATAGAAAAAATTCAAAGTCATTTCCTTGATAAAAGTTATGTTTATTTGAGGATACTTTTCATTACCTCTTTCCCCAAGATGTAAGAAGGGATTGGTGGGGGGTAAATGCCTCTATTCATCTTTTTCAGTTTCACAGGAACTTCCTTCATAATTCCTAATTAAATCCAAGACTATACTCTTCCAAAGTGCAAAATGGCCCTCATATTTTCAAAATTAATAGCACTTAGACATGGAAGTACAGTAGCTTAACTCTTGCTCTAGCATTATAGACATTAGATGTGTTGATAGGATTTCTATTCTTTGTATGACTTTCTGTAACACTAGACAATGCTTAAAAATAATTATATAGGGCGCTTGTCTGAAGTTACCTGTTTGTCATCTGACATGAAGTCATCTGCTTCCAAAGTTCTACTATTATAAAGCTTTCCAGAGAGCATCACATTAAACTTACAATACCGATTCAGTTCACAGGCCTGACAAGACACATTTTTTGGATCTTTCAAGATTATGCGAACATCTGGGTAACAATCCACACGCTCCTGAAAAAGAGATTTCAAATAATGTTAAAGAATCTCTGTAAACTGAAAGGTGCCTCAAATAGGCTGCTGAGTACTTTATACTCACACAAAATTAGTGCAAAAGAAGCTGAAGAGATTAAAATCTCATCTTTCACCATTCAGTTGCGAACAGATACCTTCTCAATCATTTCCAACACTTCACTCAGTTCTAGTTCATAAATTCTTTCTTTTGGCTTCAGACCTAAAGAACGACTCCTGCAACCTGGCACTTATTTTTCTCTTATCTCTTTTTCTGGTGGGAGTTGGGGGCAGTGAGGTGCAACTGTATCAGTTGGTCTACTTCAAATAAATATACTGTACCCCTCCACTGGCCATACTCCATTATTACAGTGATTATTAGACCACCACACCTAGCACACTAATAATATTCTAGTAATTCACATATGACGACTAAGTTACTGTATATTGACTACTTTTTTTTTTTTTTAGTAGAAGGTTCATTATGAACATACTGATTTATCTTTTCGTGGGAGGAGGAATAAGTTTTGCTGTAACATTTAGCAAGCCACAAAAAAATCCTCAAGAAGTCATCTGCTGAAAGTAGCAGGAAAAGCATTCAGGTAACTGAGAACACATTCTGTTCTGTTACCTGAATGTTTATAAATCTGGTTATAAACACATAAAATACTACCAATATTTATAAGTATCAAAACAAGTTACATAAAGTAAAGAACAATGAGTTTCTATTTATAAAGTATGTAAAGTGATTACTTTATTGATTATTGTATTTAAAGTTTTGTGATTACTGTACCTTTACTGAGAATTACAGTATTAAAAAAAAAAAAAAAGGTCAGTAATAATACGATTTGGAGCCCACTTCACTATTTAAAGTAGAAACTACATACCTTGTATCGATCTTTCCAGCGACTTCTAGAGATTAAGTTCTCAAGACGAGGCTGAATGAAGCGGTCATCCAAATAATGAAGTGAGAGCAACATATCTTGCGCATACTGCTTTTGTCTTGTTCCATCTGTTCAGTGAGAGTCATTACTAATCTGCTGACCACTCTATGTTGTACAAGTTTCTTCAAATAAAATTTTCAAGGACATTATGCTTCTGCATACTAAGAACTATGAAAGATTTTAATAAACTACTACCGAATACATTTGCTACTGTTATCTATAAAAGTGACTCATGCATCTTTGATAAACTGATATATTTAATTATTTAAAAAGTCTGTATCACAAGAGGTACATGAATAAACTCTATGATCAAGGTTAAAGTGAAAAATTGTAATCCCAAACAGAAACCCATTCACTCAATCCCACTTAAAAGAATGGAAAAGGCGGGGGGGGCGGGTAGGGGCGGGGGGGAGTGGAAAATCTTGCTTTTTGTCACGTTTATGTAGGGTGTTCATAATGTATACGGGAACAGGTTGCAATCCATGAAAACAAACTGCTCCGAGCTGCTTCACAGCAGAAATTTTGACAACTCTCTTCATCACTTATAAAGAACACATAGAAACTGACCTTTAAACTTCAGCAGCACAGTGAGATGCCTTCAGTTAGGCAGCATAAGTACTTCCAAATACTTACTCAAGCAAAAGAAATAAACAAGTATGGGGATGAGTAAAACTACTGCTATTCCATGACTGCTTCCCAAATATGTGCTGGACTCCAGGACTTTCATAGGTGTAGGCCAGTTCGTATGGTCTTGAGCTTCAGCATGTACCGACATACAAATTAATTCAGCTACCTTCCCTAATCTTTTAGCAATGGACCACTGGCTATCTAGCTTTCTATATAAAATCAGTTAATTGCCATTATCATTATAGCCACCATAATTACAATTAATTGTTTTTCCACATACACTCTAGACACACATTTTCAGTAAGTCAGTTATACTAAAAGCTTGAAAAGGCTGTGCTAGACCATAAAAAAATCCCTCACAATAAAAAGTAAGTCTGAACTCTAATACTAAAGCAGTTGCTCTTGATTTAAACTAATTAACTGATTCACTTCCATCAACTCAGAAAAATCCATTCTGTGTTACAAAAGCATATCTTGGTAATGCTAGGCTATCTTCATACTATACAATGTTCAGAAAGATAGAATACAAACTCCAGCTCACCTGCATAGCTGATCTACTTCCAGCACCTTGGCAATAAAGGTTAGTTTTGTAGAGCAGATACATTTTGAAATAGAAGGAAGCTATTACAACATAAACCTGGCAAAGTTTACTTACTACTTTTCATAAGCTTTGTTTTCACTTGGCAAAACACAACAAAACAAACACCTGAAAGAACTAGCAGTGGTAGATGAAAGACATTTTTAGCTCCAAGAATATATAGCCCTTATTCTGAAGTCTGGTGTACTTCAGTTTCTCCACTCCCTCTTAGTTCCTGATGACACCAAAACTTCCTCTCTTTGGCACTTTGCTGACTCCTTCCACAACCTGGCACTGACAGTTCTCTCATTAATCCCATCGTTACAGCGCTTCTGAAACCACATATGAGGTTGCCATTCAGCCCTACTAGGCCAAATGCCCAAAAGCACTTCCTCAGTGAGAACAAGACAAGTAGTACTGACTGCAGCTGAAATTTATTCGTTTTATCTGAAAGCACAAATGTTAAAAAACCCCCAAACATATACACAGTAATCGCCGTAACTATTATCTATCAAATTCCTCAGGAAAAACTACGAAGCACGTGACATTTTGACAGGTCAACTGACCTTGCAGTGTTTTCATTGAGATAACCTACTTTGAAATCAATTTTGCTTTCATGCTGGAACTGTTACTACTGATCAGTAACACAGAAACACTTTCCTACATCTCAGAATGCCTTCTAGGCCGAAAAGAATTAAGTCTACACATCTTTCTGGATTACTCTATCCTTTTCAGATAGATTTCCCGCCCTCCGCCCCTGCCAAAGTTACAGAGCAGCTCTCAGGATTCACAGTCCTATACTCTGATCAGGAGACACATCTTTGCCTAGAATAAATGCATAACTTTGAATGCACTATTATATTATTTAATGGAATTTACTTACCATATAATGAGCTCAGAAAAGTGTTATCAATTGCATTTATGAGGAAAGCCTTTACTATTCTTTTGAAGTGTACGTAATGATCACAGCGAGATACTGGGAAGAATGCAATATAACCAGAATTTACCAAAAAAAAAAAAAAAAAAAAAAAAAGAGGAAGGAAAAAAAAAAAGTAAGCAACGTTAGAAGTCCTGCAAGAAGAATTCTTTTTTACCACTACTGTAAATTTAGAATTTTAAAGTTTTTGAAAGCATTTTAAAATCCATATTTAAATGTACAACATCGACCCCCTTAAGACCTTGCCTTTAAACAGTACTTCTCACCCCAATGATCTTAATGAATTTTAGCATCTTAAAGTCCCAAGTCCTTTCATCAAGGAGATGTCACAGTAAGAGCTACAAACACTAAAAGAAGAGAACAATTTGTTCTATGAATAGCAGGAAACAATGCAAACCAGAGAAGGCCAGGCTTATGGGGTTTTTTTAGGTTTTTTTCTTTTTTTTAACTTTCTTTCAAATATACACAATTCTGCTCAGGTCTTTACTGGGGAAGAAACACCACAAATGCTTGTGACCATCTACACTAGCACCGACTGTCCAGTCAGTACATACCTGCTTCTGAATGATAAAATAGGTAAGAAGGTAACTAGCATGAAATTCTGTTTCAAATCTCTCTGCTCTACCCAGACACCAGTTTTCATAAAAGATCAACGTGAAAAGTTTTCTCACTCTCTGCGGTTCGGCTCAAATTGACCAACAGATTCAGAAACCCCTATAAACCTGTGCTCCAAAGTCTCACTGCCATGGAATAAAAATACATTAAAAAAAAAAAAAATCCCAAGCCCCAAAAACCCCAAACTCATGGCAAGAATTTTTCATCACTCTCCAGAACTGAATTTGGCAAGAATTAACATAGCTGCTCTTAGCATATGTAACAAGATGGAGGATGATGCTTTTAGGTCAGTTGGTGCAGTCACCATAGGTAACCTACTTCATCCTAAATCTGACAACTGTGCAACAGGGTTTTTCTTCCTTCCCCTCAAATTATACCCTCCCTTTAATAAGATACAGAAATACTGTAAAGTTTACTGTGGAAATCTGACTACTTCCACAATAAACTGATGCCTTTTAGGAATCTGCTTTTAAACTATCATATCCTATCACATAGGATTTGTATTTATAGGTCATTAATATTTATTACAGCACTACAAGCAAGTTAGACAAATAGAATTGTCACTAATTTTGATCTTACAGTGTGGGATGTAGTATGCCAGCAAGTCGCTATTCAATGTATTTAGTTCCTTCGGTTGTAGCAAGTTTTCACTTTTCATGTGCTCTGTGTTGTCATGATCATCTTCCTCTTCCTCTACTATAAAATCTTTCATGCTGTCACTGTCAGCTTCGCTACCTTCTGTTGGCATGAGAGGCAAGTGACAGAGTGGTTCCTCTTCTATTTCTGCTTCACCATTAGAATCCTAATTAAATTGTAAAAAGTATTTCAAAGAAAATAATTTTTAGTACTTGCACTGATGAAATACTGGATAAGACATACTGGATAAAAATGTTGACCTTCTAATAACACCATTTGTTCCATTAACAAGAAGTAATATGTTTCAAAAAAATACATCATCCTGTACTAGATAGCTGATTTAAAGCTGAAAGCAACTGTCATCTCCATGTACCTCTCCAGTTTATTTGTGAATTAAGCTAACATGAGATCTCTAAGTTACTTCAGCAGCTATTTTGCTTCTTAATAAAAATCATTTGATAGTCCTCTCATGCATCTCTTCTTTATGGAAAAAAAAGGAATGATAAAGAAATTTTTCTTTTCTGACTACATAGGGAAGATATATACCTGCATTCTAAGCTGCTTAGTCATCAGAATGCCTGAAAGAACAAATTAAAGGAAATTCGTAAATTCTCAGTGATTAAAATTGAACTCAAGATAAAGGTTTTCAGCAGATAATATTGCTACTTAGTTAATGTGACAACTGTTAAAATGTGACAGAACTGATTTGTCATGAATAAAAACCAAAACAAAATAAATAAAACCCCACTGATTTATATCTATGAGTCTTCACCTTCACCTTCCCTTGTGTTCACTATTTTCTCCAACTAATTTCAAAGACAAAATCCAGACCTCAGAATTTTCACTGCTGCAGGATCTCCGAGTTGCTCTTTGTTTTGCAAGTTCTTTCAATTTTGCAAACACTTTCTGTTTCCTACTAGTGGAAACATTTTCTGCAGGGCAGGTTATATCCGGTTGCTGTTCATCAGAACTCTCATCTTCATCCATTATACAGTGGCGTTTAGCAAAAACTTTTCTAACAAGTATATCACTGTCCTCACTTTCATCACTGTCATACAAGACAGAGGTCTTCAACCTTTTACGCTTCCCAGGCATGATGCACTCATCTTCACCATCTTCTGTTAATTCCCCATCGTGGCTTTTCTCTTCCTGATCCAAAAGGCTGTTCTTCACAACAGTTTCATCTTTTTCATCTACTTCATCTTCTGATGTGGTAGGGTCTTCCTCCTCAGAGGTACCTGAGGATTCATCATTGCTGTCAAGTAGTATGAGCTCCCTTTTAGTGCGTCTCCAATCAACTCGCGATTTGGATGATGACAGTTCTGTTCCTGCTGTCTTATTTCTTGTTTCGTACCTTTTGACAACTGCTTTTAACTCCATTAGAAGGCTGTAACAACACACCAAAACACAAACTGGTAAAACAAAGCACTTATTACATTAGTCCATTAAAAAAAAAAGACTACAAGGGCATGTGTATTTTGTTACATACGTTTATGACTTCACAGTATCATTATTAAGAGACAGACGTGGAAATCAGCACCAAACAAAACTAAACACGCACAATAACTTCTGAAGACTTACTTAAAAAAAAAGTAGAAGAGCAGAACTAACCACACCCAGCACGAACGAATAGGAAAAATCAGGTCTGACGTGCAGCTACAGACCCAATCACCCGCTCCAAAACCGAAAGCCTACAGCCGGGGCAGAGACCTTCCCCGCTCCGGCGGGGCAGCGTACATCGCTCGTTCGGCAGCGGCGGCGACAGCAAGGCCTCCCTGAGAGGCGTCCGCAACCTCTGCCCTCCGCTGGGGAGGGACCACTCCACACAGCTTGGCGGGCCGACTCCCAACCTCCCGCCCCGCAGCGAG